CCCCCCCCCCCCAAAAAAAAAAAACAAAAAAAAAAAAAAACTGATACTTCATCATATAACACTGCTAATGTGCAGTCCGAACATTCAAACCCTAAACCCAAAAAAGCACTCAAAATATTACAGCCAAATTTGTGCAATTAAATTATTTTTAATTTATGCGAAATGGCAGTTTATTGTTTTATCTACTCTTAGAGTCGAGAAATAAAAGAACGTCTCTACTGTCAGTACTACCAAACTTTTTTTTTTTTTTTTTTTTTCATAAAGGGCCCTCAGGGCTTCATTTAATTCTTGAAAGTGCAAACTGAGGCCGGGAATCCTCAACAATACAACCCGGAGGAACAATAAACATTCATGTCGGGGGAAAAAAGAAAAAAAGAAGAAAAAAAAAACTTACATCCAACAGGCAAGATCACGCATTTATATTTATATAAAAGAGCCTGCCTGAATTGCATGCAAGTGTCTTTTTCTTTTTTTTTTGGGGGGGGGGGAAGGTTAGCCCTAAGATAAAATTTTGCATTCAGATTTTTCAGTCGCACTTCATCAGGGGGGAGGTCCCACTAGCAAAGACGATTTTGGATTCAACGCCTGAATCTGGGACGTGTTTGCGGACAGGTGCAGGAAATGGGCGATTCATCTGCTTTCTGAATCTCTGCATAAAACACGTCCAGATTCAGGCGATGAAATCACCACTACCTCCGATCACCTTTTTGCCTAAGACGTGCGTGCCAAGCTTTGCAAAAGCACCAGCGTGACGTTTCTTTTTTTTTTTTTCTTTTTCTTTTTTTTTCCTTTTTTTTTTTGTTTTCCTGACTGGCTCCACCACCCATTTTGGTCCGGTGGCACACTGCTCAGCCATTGCGGTCCAGTACTTGGCAGTGCATATACACACGACAAGGGCCCGCGGCCGATGTATGGACCAAGTACACTGGTGGTTTGACATTTTCCTTATTTTCCAAGGACGTATTAAAGAAGGAGGGGGTGGGGTGGGATGGGATGGGTTGGAGGCAAAGGGGAGGGGAGGGTGGCGGGTGGTAGGATGGAACCTTGACTCCCCCCATTTCACACATGATTTTATACATCCTACGTTGGGCATCGCCACACCACTCTCGGAATGTGAAAACGACAAAACCTATGGCGGGTGTCTCTCTCTCTCTCTCTCTCTCACACACACACACACACACACACACACTCACATTCTCTCTCTCTCTCTCTCTCTCTCTCTCTCTCTCTCTCTCTCTCTCTCTCTCTCTCTCTCTCTCAAATACACACACACACACACTCCTGCTCACAGTTCTACGGCGAGAGAAAGGTACAATCTAATATAATTGGTGTCCACACGGTACAACTTTTCAGGAAGAAACACTATCACCGTCTTCTCCCGAACGGAACGCACCCTGTTAATGAAAGTCCACAAGTTATCTTTCCGGTTCACAGTCACACTGCGACGAGTGTGCCTTGTCTTCAGGGTTGCTAGCGACGGTAGAAGCCAAGCCAACGGATCATTGGACAAATAAGCATCCGGCTATCAATCTGCGATCGGGACCAGGGTTGTACTTACTGCGTATATTAGAGGAAGGAGGACAAGAAACCGACAAGGAACAGCAGTTGGTGGTCTTCTCTGAGAAGAAGAAGAAGAAGAAGAAGAAGAAGAAGAAGAGACGACGTATCCTCAGAGAAGCCGTTGGACCCTAAAATGGCTGAGCCCTAAAAACCAACAACGATGTAAACACAACAAAAAGCAACGAGGGAAACACCACAATGACATGCTGTACCTATGGGACGACGGACCCGGTTCCCGGGGGGGGGTGCCGCTCCCCCCCAATAGATGGAGCAGCCTGGCAGCCAAGGTGTCAATTCCAGCGGCGGCTCTCTTACAGCCGCTGGGATAGAGGCCTTCTAGAAGGGGTTTTCACCCCCCCCCCCCCCCCCCCAAAACAAAAAAGAAAGAAAGAACGAAAGAAAGAAAGAAAGGAAGAGAGAACACGTCACGTGCTGTACGAAGCAGACAAGGCAATGTTTGTGCCACCGTGGCACGCGTCGCATGAGACACGTGGCATGCCCTTGATGGCACTGAGTGGACGCCACGTGTCGGATGTGAAATGCCACGTCATCATCTGCCATCGTGGCATGCCACGTGTTTCATGTGAAATGCCTCTCAAACAAATGGTTAACAGGGGGAGCCCCACTTTTCAGCCGCAGGTTAATCGCCCAAAAAGCTGAAAAGTGTAATTGGGGATAAGTGTTTTCAGTTGTTGTTTTTTTTTTTTGCTGTTTTAATATTGGTTAAGGTATGTGTGTGGTCCTGCACCCTAAACCACTAGGGCAAGGGGCAAACATGCAATTACCTCCCTCCACCGAGAGAGGTAACCTCCCTTCACCGAACAGCGGTAGATAGCTCTGCTTGCAGGGGTCCCCCCCCCCTTACAGCCTTAGGAGTAGTGATCGGTAGGTAGTGAAAGATAAAAAAGAGATGTTCCAGGACATGGCAGAAGCCAATTAACAAATATATATACATAATATACATATATAAATATATATACATATATATCGTCACAAACAGAACTGCCTGGTAAACCGTAGGCAGAGAGAGAGAAGAGGACAACAAACGAGGGGCTGTGACAAACTGTTTCGTATATATCGTCACAAACAGAGAGAGAGAAGAGGACAACAAACGAGCGGCTGTGACAAACTGTTTCGTATATATATACAGCTGTCCCCCAATGAGGAGAAGACAGCTTTCCTAAAATTAAAAAAAAAAAAAAAAGTTCGGCGTTTATTGGCGTCTTGGAGATTACTGTTTTTCTTTGTTTTTTTTTTTTGTTTTTTCAAGCCCATGAAAATCCTGAAAATCCTGAAAACCTGGAAAGAGCGAATTTTGCATGAAAACAAATTTTTGCCTTGGGGTTTTAGGCTCCTTTGGTCCTTTTTTCTACTATTACCAAGCATTAATTTTTCCATTATTGTACTTGGTGTCCAATTTATGGACTGGTGAGAGGTTTGGTTTAAAAGGTGTGGGAGGTTTGTTATACAGACCCCCAAAAAAACCCTCAAAATTTAGGGGGCACAAGTGTTAACCGCCTCTCGAAACGAAATGCCACGTGTCTAACGTGACACGTGACACGTGACATCGTGGCATTTCACATGCGACACGCAGCATGCCACATCATGATGACGTGGACGTCCTCAACAACGAGAGCGATGTGTTTTTTTTTCTTTTTCTATTTTCTTTTCCCAAAATTTAATCCCAACGACAGCGATGAGTTGATCTCGTCAGGAAGAGCAGATTTCCCCCGAACAGAACGTATGGTCATAATAGCTGTGCATTTAGGGCAACTTTCCGTCTAGATGCAGCCATGACGGCCGTATGTTCTATTTTGGGGGAAGAAAGGTAGTGCATAGCTAGCACATTCACGGATCCCGAACCCGATCCAATCATCCTCCCCGCCAGCTCACAATTATCCGAATCACACTCATCATCGTTATCATCATCATCATCATCATCAACATCATCATCATCATCATCATCATCATCATCATCGTCATCATCATCAGCAGCAGCAGCACCCCTTCCATGCTTCATTATCCTCGTCATCGAAACTTGCCATCACCATGAACGGGATCCCGATCCCGACCCCGATCCAATCATCCTCCCCCCCAGCTCATAATTATCCGAATCACACTCATCATCGTCATCATCCATCATCATCATCGTCATCATCCATCATCCATCATCATCATCCTGTTCATGTTTCATTGTCGTGGTCATCAACATTTACCATCACCATGAACGTTGCTTGCGTTCTAAACAACTGAACCGCTCATTCTTCACTAACTGATTCTTCGTGAAAAATTCACCATTCGTTCTTTTTTTTTTTTCTTCGTTCTTTCTTTTTTTAACTTCTTTCTTTTCGTTTTCTTTCTTTCTATTGTTTTCTTTCTTTTTATTTGAAAAATGACAGCAGACCACCCTCCATTCTTCATTCAGCGACCACGTGTCTGTTTGTGTCCAGGAAACATGGACGTCTGCCACGCCAGAAGTACCGGGTTCGATTCAACTCCACGCATAGCATGCGATTATAGCGGACAAACAGCATCGGAAACCGAAGAGCTTGCGCTTCAGTCACCTCTCATTCATTCATTCATTCATTCATTCATTCATTCATTCATTCATTCATGATCAGCGGTCATCATTCTTTATTTTCTTTGGAAGAAAAAGAAAAAGAGGGGGAAAAAAAAAAAGGACTAATACTGGAATTATTGACAGGACTCAGGATTGTATTCAGAAGAATCCGAACCGTCGAAACTGGCAATCGAAATATGACATGAAGGGGATTGCCATCCATTCACAAATAAGATCAATGTACCCCCCTTACGTTATAGCTATGACCACAGGGAGATAAACACAGAGAGAGAGAGAGAGAGAGAGAGAGAGAGAGAGAGGGACTGAAACGAAGAACACGTACCCAATTACTGACAAGGAAGGCGAACCACCGACGGATCCCGCAATTGGTCACCTGCAATCTCTCTCTCTCTCTCTCTCTCTCTCTCTCTCTCTCTCTCTCTCTCTCTCTCTCTCTCTCTCTCTCTCTCTCT